ATTATACGACAAAATGGAACCATTCGCAATAGATTCCCATATACCATAAAATATTATTAAATTTCACTTTTACGACTTGATATTATTACACCTTAATTTGTAATAAAANTACGACTTGATATTATTACACCTTAATTTGTAATAAAAATTTCTATTTTACTTGATATTATAAAATTAATTTTTACTTAATAAAATTATATGTATTATTTTTATTTAAGTAATTTTTAGAATAAAAAATTCCATCTGATATACATGATATATTAGTAAAATAACTTTTTATTCGTTATTCAAATAATCAAAGCCATATGGCTAAAATATTTTTAAAATGTATTTCAAAACAAATAAAAATAGACGATAAATACACTTATTTTTATTATTATCGATAGTCGTTTTAAATTATAGGGATTATCGAAAAAATTATTGTTGATAAAAAGTTATTTTATTAATTTATCAAGTTGAATTATTCCAGTATTAAATAAAAAACTCATATCTAGTTACTTTTAATCAATTAATAATATTTTTATTTATTTTTTCTTAGCATTCAGAAAAATGGTCGTGTTATTATATTACAGAGAAGTTATATATAGTGATATTCAAACAAATCTAAGGACTACATATGGGTTCGATTTTATCTTGAGGTCTTGAGGCAAAGATGAAAAGGTATTAATTTTACTAAGATGTTTTTTTTTGTGTCTGTTACCACTTATTCTTAGCTCTCACCGAACCGATTTCTTTCGTCCATACGTCAAAAGATCACAAATCATATATAGTTGAAGAAATTTTTCTTAAAAATTGAAAAAATTTCCCTTGTCCACTGTAAAAGGAGGACATCCCCATAAAAGATACAATTTTTAAAATTGGTTAATTTTCGACATTTTTTAAACTTTTTTTTTAAAACTGCCATAAATTTTTTAAAAATGAACAAATCAAAAACATGTATTTTACATAGAAACCTTAGGTATTATTTTATTTGATATAAATTTTGTCAAAATCTAACCCTTTACCTGCCCACAGGGTCGGATTTAAAATAACAACTATTTCATAAAAAACACAAAACAGTGGGGCGTAGTGAAGACGTTGCATAGTTGGGTCCAGTATAGATTTAATCTGACAGTGATTAAAATCACTATCATAAGAAACGCTTCGATGCAAATCTGTAGATAGTGTTTAATTTAAAAAAAATTATGGATTATTACAAAAGCAACATCAACTTCTATTTCCTTAATTATACCCAGATTAGTAATTCTTTTAATAATATATTATATAATTTTTAAAATTAATTGTTTTCAAATTATTATTGATTTTGATTTTTAATATGTTAAAAATAATCATGTTGAACCTACTTTTTTTGTCCTTTAAAGTGAAAGTTTTAATAAAAAAAAAAAGTGAATTTACTAACATAACTTTTAGCATAACTTGCAAGTTTGGCATTGACATTATTAAACAAAAATAAAAAATGAAATTGTTAAGATTAATATGCAATCAGGAAATTTTATAATTACTATTTACAGTAAATTTATCAGAAAACTTCGATTTTTTTTACATTTTTATCGTAATAGATCACTTAAATAAAAATCATAGTAATCATTTCTAATTAATTTTTGGTGTTTAAAAAGGGTATGAGATGCCCATAATCTTAGTTATAATAATAAAAAATGGAATATTTATTATTATAAGACTATGATATACAGATAGGTTAATAATATATGTTTATATTCTTGTCTTTCTATTCAGAAAATAATTTCTTGTTAATTTTGAATAAATACCCAATGTATTTATTTAAAATTCTACAAGCAATTTTTATCAGAGATAGATACATTTTTCTAAACAAATTTGATTTCAAATCTGCTATTACACATTTTTTATCAGCTCTAATTTTTGAGATATTTACTCATTAGTAAAAAACGAGTTGTTTCATATAAAGAAATTATTTATAAACAAAAAAAAATTATTTGTTCGAAGTATAAAAAATTTTGATTTTTAATTTGTTAAAAATAATCTGTGCGAAATTTCGATTTAAAATAACATATTTAACCTAATTTTTGAGTCTTTTGAGATTTTTAAGATCTTATTAAAATTAAAATTTTTAAACTGTTTTAATAAAACTATTCTATAACTGCTAATAAATGATTTTCTGCATATTTTAGTATAAAAATTAGTCTTATACCACTATTATTTGTGGAGATTTTTAATTTAAAAAAAATACTTTATGTAAAGTGTTTTTCATAATAGAACATCACCGGTACAAATTTTTTTTAATAATACTGTATATTTTAAAATATTTAATTTTATATAAGTTTAATGTATTTCTGAATATTTTCAACAATTGTGTAGGATAAAAATAATTTAAACATTCGTGGCTGGTATTATTTTCAAACCCTTCCTGTACTTCGGTTTTTTATTAAATTGTATAAAAGAATACCAAAAGTCTGAATATTTTGTCTGTAATATCATATTAAGTTTAAAAAAAATGAAGTAAAGTTATGTAAAAAATTTCCACAGAACCACTTGTTTTCATTGTCAGGCAGTGGATCATTTTTCAGTAAACAATTGATATATAACCATCGAGTACAAGACTCACATTGTACTATTTCTCCACTTCTTTTGTCAATCTTTTTACTTTTCTCATTAAGACTACCTTCATCAACACCACAGATTAGACTACTGTTTTTTATACACTCCGAATTACTTAAAATCAAATTTTGTAATTTCTTTCTGTAATCATTCGGATTGAATATGTTCATAATTATTTTATTAGTCATCAATTGATCTGCAAAATATAACATAAAAACACCACAATTGAAACTATCATTATGATAGGGTATAGTCACATCATTTATCTCCCACTCTGTAATATTACTAATTACTTGTACTCTATTTTAACTCATGTTGTGATACCGTCCGTCACTCTAATTTAATATTATTCGCAAATCGCAATGTGTATCACAAAATAATACACTTGTCTTAAATTGATATCATAGCATAATCACTAATGTAATTAATACAATGTATGTATTTGTTCAGTTTAAGATTCATATCTGTACTATAAATGTAAACACTGTAAATTAATCCACAAAGACAATGTATTAAGTAACAGTATCCCTAAGAAAAATCAAATGTACCATAACCATATAATATTAAGTTTAAAAAAAGTTAAAATTTAACCATAAAAATTGTAATTTTTTGGATGATTTTCCCAATTTACGGGGAATGAGAGAATTTTTAATATGAACAAATCAACAATGAATAAGTAAAAAACTTTATTAATAGAAACACAGAAGCATACATGTTTCAACTTTTACAGCCTGTTTACACTATTCTAAATAGTTTAAACATTTTTATTTTAAATTATATAATATCTAAAAGACATTTATAGTCATCTCATATAATAAGTATTTTTTTTTTATTTTAGAAGAGGAGCTCTATCTTTTTGCACTTCTCGCTCAATTCAAGTATTAAATGTTAATTAATAAAATCAAATGCATCGAATATTCTATACTTACAAAAATGAAAAAAATTCTAATTTTAACATTTTCTTCTGTTATTAATCTGAAAACAAAGTGTAAAAATAATTAAAATAACTTCACTTAATTGTAATTGATCATAATTAAACGCATACAATATTTTCTTTATTTCACATACTTTAGAAATTATTTTATTTTTAATTAAAATATTAAATTTTCTATTTAAGAACAACAAAATTTAATTTCCTATTTTATATTAAAAATATAAGTCTTACAGTTAAAATCTTCTTCTTTTCTTCGCCATAATCCCAACTACTTGGCGTCGGCAACCCTTATCCTAAACTTGACACAATCACCCATATCATCTACGCTCACATCAGCCGTCTTCATATCGCATTCAATGACACCCCCCATATATTTTTTGGTCTTACTCTATATCTTCTTACTTCAATATTCATATCTATAACTGTTCTTACAGCTTCCGATTCCTCTCTCCACATAACATGACCATCAAGTCTATTTTTTCTCATCTTCTCTACGATTGACGTTACACCTATACTCCCTCTTATATGTTCGTTCCTTATCCTATCCTCTCTAGTTACTTCATTCATCCATCTAAGCATTCTCATCTCTGCTACACTCACTCTCTAATCTACTTTCTTGTCAACTGCCCAGCTATTTGAACCATAGATTTAGCTGGTCTAACTGTTATGATAATAAGCCTTACAGCCAAAATAATATTTATATTTATAAAAACTGTTATTAGTTTATATAATATAATATTTTATATAAGCAAAATATACGTGAATATGACTGGACAAATATTTTTCGACAAAAAATTGTAATAGAAATATATTTTTATAATTGTACATGTGATCCTATTAATCACAAGATATAAATTCTCATAAATTGTACTTGAGCTTTTTAAAAGCGGATATTAGGTTTAGTGGGAAATCCTATTGATTTTTATTGGTCAATTCTTTTGTGAAATAAAAATAAAAATTTATTCGGTTGAAGAAAATAACTAATTAATCATCATTAAAATAATATTATTAAGATTAATATGCAGTCAAGAAATTGTATATTCCTATTTACTGTAAATTTATCAGAATAACTCAACATTTTNGTATATTCCTATTTACTGTAAATTTATCAGAATAGCTCAACATTTTTTTGCATTTTTATCGACATCACTTAAATAGAAATTATAGTAATCATTTCCTAGTAACTTTTGGTGTTTAAAAAGATTCTACAATTGAAATATACAGAACTGAAATAATTTTAATGATTTACTTTAACTAAAAAAATCAATAAAAGAAAGTTGTTAAAAAAATGTACTCAATTGAGCGCATTATAAAATTTGTTATAATTGTAAAAATCCATTTTTAAATTTACGTGAAACTAAAAATCATTTTTTTAGAAATGATTTATATAGCAACATGTTACCAAAAAAATTGGAATATTATAGACTAATAGTAACACACAAATAAAGTTAAAAGATTAATAAATTACAAAGTAAAATTATTTAATTTTGTAGTCGAAACCTATTATCTAATCAAACCATAAGAAAAACTTTTGTTAGATATTTTAAAATAATAATGATTAATTACTTACTGGGTTCATAATTACTGTTCGTTCGTGGTTCAGCAGATAGACTTTGCAAATTTTATAAAAAATCGGGAAATTGTAATCGAGCTAGAATCGTGATGTAATAAAGCGACCGATGAGAGAAACAAGATATAAGTATAATAAGCGTAATGCTAATATATGGTACCGTGTCAAGTGTTTTTTGTAGCATAGCGAATGAATGAGCACAGGCTCGACAGGAAAATTTAAAAATCCATTTGTACTAATAAATTTTCTTTATTTTATCATACGATTTATTTTAACATGGATGGATTTCTTTCAAACCGGATTAAGGGCGTACACCCGTAGGCCCACAACCATAAAGAACCCATCTCGAATTTTAATAGCCTAGTTATAACTATTGATAAAGTTTTTATGGTTTAAATTTTTTTTTTGCTCATCTCTTCTTATGGTAGTGATATTTTCCATAAAAAAATAATATAGTATAATATTGAGATTTTTATTTTAATTTTTAAAATTGAGATGATTATCTTTAATTAGTTTTTAATTAATTAAACTTTCTTTTCTGAAAATTAAATTCTATTCTGTATATGTTAATATTTAAATATAAATTTTAGTCGTTCCCTATATATTTTAGAGGCCATACTTGAAAATAAGTAGTCTGAACTCACGTAAAACCCTACAAATAAATTGTTTGATATCATGTGAAACTTTGATAATAGTAAAAGAAAATACTTTTTATTTTAATATGTGAATAGTAATATTGATATTAGGTATATTTCGATCCAGCTGTCGCGTAGGATCCAAATTATGAAAGTAAATTTTTGGATAACTAGAGTTTGATATTTAAATACTAAATACTGTATTAACTAATTTTTCAATAGACTTCCGAAAAATTATTAATATTGACTTGTACCAGTTTTACTCGTACTCTTGTATATTTAATAGAAATTGACTCTACCATTCCACGTTTTCTTGTAATCTGTATAATATTTTGTGACGTAAAAAATTGACCTATCTTTAATAGTATTGTTTAACAAAATAAGTTAATTCAATTAGTTAATGTGAACATCATACAATTAAGTGTAACTGCTCAGCAATTGGTAATGCGGTGTTATTGTCTGAATAGTATTAATTTCGTGCTGAATAAAAATTAATTTTGAACATTATAATTTAGTAATAACATAATTAAATCGTCCTAAATAATGCAATCGCACACTCCCTTTTTATATTTTATCTGTTGTACAATCGTTCATAACAAATTATCATTGTGATAACAAAACGCCCAGCTGACCACTACAGTACTGTCAATAATTCAACCGGTCCCAGATGTCTGTCAACGAGGCATGCACTGATGTCGGCGTTTGTTTTCCCTTCCGGTCCATGTGTGTCGTGGCCGTCAAGTGTTCTGGCCGTTTTGTTCAAATGATTTTGGCCGGTCGTCAAATCTGTCTCCAGCCACCTACTTAATTTTATTTTTTGCGTATATTGAACATCTCATAGCTGCCTAAATTTTACTTTTGGANCCAGCCACCTACTTAATTTTATTTTTTGCGTATATTGAACATCTCATAGCTGCCTAACTTTTACTTTTGGCCCTGGCGATCGAACCATGCGTGAAGATTTCATTTGTTGGCTACGGCCTGGACATCATGATAATATAATTTGGTAACTTTGTACAGCATTCCCGTCTTTCTTTATTTTCGTCTATTTCATTGTTTCTTCTATTCGTGCATTGTCACGAGGTTTCTTCAAAAATATCTTAAATGATATTAATATATTTTAAATATTTTAATATGATTATTCTATCTGATCTCTTGGCACATTTGCTCATTGACTATTGGTAAATCAGTTTGAAATATTATTTTCGTCCATCCTATAATTATTTTTGTCATGTTGAGTGTAATAATACCTCACATATGTTGGACCAATCTAGATGTGCTTAGCAGTCTCAAGGCTCGGTATAAAAGCCTTAGATCCATATTGACCGATGTCAAGTTCTTAGTTTGAACATTATTGCAATGATAACCAATTTATTTTATTCAATATTAGAAAGTACGCTCCTGGCCCTTGGTCAAATCGAACATAGTCAATACAGCATTTTCAGAGATTATTTTCTCCTTCATTTCCTTTTTGTTTTATTTGTCCTTTAGCACATTTAATAATTTGTAATAATTTTAACTATGACTTGAAATATGTTATATAAAAGAATTTTTAATTTTATTTTATTTTGAACATTTGTAACTGACATTATTTTATTGTATTTCGGGCATCATTATTTTATTTAAACTCATTATGTAAAATAGAACCTCATCACCTAGACTACTCATCTATCAGTTTTTAATTCCTTTTCCCCTAGAGTAAGGTAAAAACTTAGTAAATTAAAAAACAAATGTGTCAGTAATATTTAAAATTCCACTATGCTCCGGTCTGGTAGAGCCTCGGCTAGTGGTGAATCCAACTTCGTTTGGGTTTATGTGCTTCATCGGTGAAAGCCTCATGGTTAGAAGTCGGTGAACGTCACAATTTACTATAAAAGTCTAGTCATGCTTGGGTTTTAATTATCTAATTTTTCAATAATTCATAAGGAAATTCAAACTTAAGTGTAACTAAAATATAATTTTCAAAAAGGCTAAATTTATTATTCTCCATACCATGAAAAATATTTTATACATAACAAAAAGTATAATTTTCTACATTTTTGAGCTGTCCAAGAACCCTCAGCTTTATATATGATAAATTAAAAAAAAATATATAATTTTTCCTCTAATTTTTTTTTTAAGTAATAATATATATTAGGAGTAATAATTATGAAATAAAATATTAATACGGTAAATTTATACACAATTTTCATTTTAATATATTCTTTACCTGAAAAAATGTTATATTAATATCAAAACATAGGTCTGTCATAGCATATTTGCAAAACATGGCAATTAAAAACCATGTCTCATAAAAACTTACTAACAAAGAATATAACTTATTTAATATGTTTTATTTAAAGGAAAATAAAAATATCAAATATGATGAATTCAAACAGCAAAAGTAAAAACAAATTTAAGATTTAAAAAATATTGATTAAATACTGTTTTTTTTACAGATAATTGCATGTCCTCAAAGCTTGAAAAAAAAATATTATTTTTGGTTTATTGTTATAAATATATGATATATATACATATATATTTTTCATTTTTTAGATTCGATGCGAAGCTGAGAAGGTATTAATTTCATCATTATTGTGTTTTTTTTTATGTCTGTTGCCATTTTTTCTCAGCTCTCACTGGACCGATTTCTTTCAACAATACGTCAAAAGATCACAAATCGTTTCTTAATGAAGACATAATCCTTAATAATTGAATAATTTTCCCTCGTTCCTCGCGAATGGGGGAAATCTTCAAAAAAATTACAATTTTTAAAATCGATAAATTTTGTCATTTTTTTCAATTTTTTTTCTTAAAACTTCCATAACTTTTTCAAAAATCAACAAATAAACATAATTTTTTTTTATATTCAAACTTTAGATATTTACCTTTAATTTATAATATTTTTTAAAAATCTAACACTTAACCTGCTCACAGGGGGGGATTTAA